GGTGAAACAAGTCCGAGAAAGCGTACCCCTGGCTTGTCGGACAATTATCGGTGCATGTGTGTCAAAGCGCCTCACTTCGACTGGGCCCCAAGAGACCCTGCTGGGGCTTACAAGTTGGACCCGTCTTCCAGCTCGTACCCCTGGCACTGCATCTTCTTGGGGGGGGACCTGTTGGGCGAGTCCCCCAAGTTCTCCTCTTTGTTTCCCTCCTCGAGCGGTCGAGTCCTCGAAGCCGCAGGAGGTGCCTCCACTGCTGCTGCCGCTGGCGCTGCCGTCGGTCCCGTCGAGGCCGCCGCGGCCGGCGCTGAGGGGGCTGCCGCTGCCTGCGGGTGCGGCGCCGACGATGCTGCGGCCGACGATGCTGCGGCCGACGATGCTGCTGCCCAGGCTGGGGGAAACAGCGCCACAGGCGCTGGCTGCGGGGGGTCCACTGGCGACCCGGGCGAGCGCTGCGTCGGCGGTGGCGTGGGGGAGCGCTGCGTCTGACTGGTCAAGTCGATGGAGGCCCCCTGGATGTGCTGCAAGAGGTGCACTGGCCCTGGAATCATTTCCTCCGCCATCATTGGCTGTGTCGGAATCAACAACGCGGGGTCGATCGGCATGACCTCCTCCTTGGGCTCGCTCCTCTGCAGCTCCGCTGTCACTCTGGAAACGCCCTTTGCCTTCGGGGTGTCTGGGACTGCCTTCTCCTCGGCCTGGGCCCTCGTCTCGGCTGACACGCCAATGTTGGGGGCCCTGGCTGGCGTCGGCGATGCCGACTGCCTCTTCGGTGGCGGTGTCTTCGCCACAGGGCCCTCTGCCGAGCACGATGGTGCTGAGCCTCCGTACGGGTCCTGGACGATCTTCGCCATGTTCGCGCTGCTCTGGGGAGGCGCCCTCGGCCCCATGGCTGGCGCTGAGCCTTGGGGGGCTGCGCCAAAACATGGCGCGGTCGGGGCGGCGTCCCTCGGCGCGCACGCTGGCGCCAACCCCTGATGGTCAGGGGGGCTCGTGCTGGGGAGCGGGAGTCCCGTGATCACTGCCCGCTGTGCCTGCTGAATCGTCTGCGCGTCCATGAGCACATCTCCTGCCGTTGCGCCGATGCCGACTCCCAAGACCCTGGCCAGGGCGAAGGCGTGGAAGTTCTGGCCCGTTTGCATCCTCGAGAGGTGCTCCTGGATGGCCTGCTGCTGGGCCTGCACGGCTTTCATCTGCTCCGTCATCGCTGTGATGGCCGCTGCCGTTGGGCCGTCATCTCCCGCAGCCCACGGGCCCTTAGGCCCGGCGCCTCGGGGGCCGGCGGGCTCTGGCGCCGTCGGCGCCGCTGCTGCTGTGGCTGGCTGGCCGCGCGCCGCCCCAGAAGCCGCTCGCGGGGCCGCCTTCTGAGGTGGCTGGTACACGTACTTCTGCTGCGGTGGCTGGTTGGGCATTGGCGGCGGCGGCGGCGGCACTCTGCTAGCTATCGCCTCCGCCGCGGCCTTGGCTGACTGAGCCTTTGCCTCTGCCTGTGCTGCCGCCCTCTCGGCCGCCGCTTGCACCCATGGCCTCTGGGCGCTGCTGGCGGCCCTGAGGCCGTGCTCACTTCCTCCTGGCGGGGCCATCAGCCAGTCCTCATCGTGGTCTGGCGCGTCCTCCGCTTCACGGAGCTGCTGGATGGAGTTATGCAGCTTCTGCACCATCAGGCAGAGCGTCGCCTCCTCGTCCAGCAGCTCCTCGACCTTGGTTCGGATCTTGCCGAGCCTCTCCTTGGCGCTGATAAGCTGGGCCTTCAGCTCATGCAGCTGCTTCTCTGAGCCCTTGCTGGCGCTCATCATGTACTTGAGCACGCCGATGTCAAACTCCAGGGCAGGGTCCTCCTTCCCTGCGTCACGGACCGCGACGAGGAGGTTGGCAAACTTCTGGAGCTTCGACTGGGCCTTCGACTTGTAGATCTTCAGCTCATCCGCCTCTGGCGGCGGTGGTTCCCACACCGTGATGTTAGCAATCGCCTCATCAGGTGCTGCAACTGGAATCTGCGCAATCAGTTCCCTGATGCTGGCGGACTTCTTCTGGTCCCTCTTTCTGCTGGCAGAACGTCTGGTGGGGTCAGGGCGAGGAGCCCACACGTTGCCGCAGGAGCACGTCCACTGAGAGTTCGGATTCCTGGTCTCACACTGCCTGCATGTCCACGTGCCTCCTCCCATCGCGCTGTGGTGCGACTCGAGGAGGCGCTTGGCCTGGAGCACGCTGAGGAGCAGGCGAGCTCGCCCTCGCTCTGCCCGCTGCCTCTTGTGCCAGGCCGGCTCGGGGGAGCCTCTGCGGCGCCCCGAGCGCGCCGTGTGTCGCGCGCGCCCTCTGATGCTCAGCCGCGGGCCTGGCCGCGGGAGCGTTCACGAGAAAGTGTCGCGAGGGGGGCGCGGCGCCTGAGCCCTGCGCTCCGCCAAAATGTCCTGAGCCCCAGTGGCTTTCCTCCTCCTCCTCCTCCTCCTCCTCCTCCTCCTCCTCCTCCTCCTCCTCCTCCGTCGCTGCCATCTCGGCCGGCGCCCGCAGCGGCGGCAGCGGCGCCGCCGGTCGCCGCTGCGGCGGCGCCTGCCTCGGGCTGGACAAACCCCAAGATCCCGGCGTGGAAATGTCTGCCCACGGGGCGATGCCGCGCCCCCGGCGTCGGGCCCCGGGACCGTCAGAGATCGACCCGGCTCGAGACATGCCGCCGGGCGCGGGAGTCATTGAAAGGGCGCGTGCTGAAGGCGCTTGGAAGGAGGGGGGGGGGGGTGTTCGAACCGGGGGGGTTGGGCCCCCTGAGTTGCGGGCCCCCCCCACTGCAGAACTGGCAAATCATTGATGACTGTCAAACATCACTTATAATTGTGATTGATATATTTTGCTAAATCATGGACCCCGCCCCCCTTCGCGGGGAGGGGCAGTGTTCGAACCGGGAGACCCCCCCTCCTGAGTTGGAACGGGGGGGCGGGGGGTTCGAACCGTGTGGGGGGGGGCCCCCGTGGCGATCCGGATTGGGATGTTCCTGCGATGAAAACGATGGCGAACCTATCCGCAGCGAGTGTCCGTTGACCCGGCCGCCCGGCCACTGCCGCGCCGCCGCCCCCCCTTCCCCCCTCTCTGCGCAGGTGGCCGGCGACCGCGCCAAGCTCCCGGAGAAGCGCTTCGCGACGCTGCGCCCGGCGCTGGACTTGCCGCGCGAGCTCGTGCTTCTCTGCGGCCGCACGCAGTGGCACAAGCTCGACGCCGCTGGCCAGCAGCGCCTCGACGCGGACCTCAGGAAGCACATCCTGGCGCTTGTCGAGGATTGCGAGGGGGGGCAGGCAACGACGCAATCCCCTTGCGGTTGATCAGACGGCATCGCCGCGAGCAGGGCGGGCTTTTCTCCTCTGCGTCGGCCGGGGAGTGGCGCCTCCGAGAACCATTTGGTCCGCTGAATGTTTCTCGCGGCGCCCCTCCTGGTGAGCGGTGAGGTCGCCCCAGTTAACGCGGGGGGATCGCGCGTTGACCCCCCCCCCCCGCAGGACCAGCTCGCGCAGCCGCGCTGAGGTGGGGCCGGCCGAGCCGACCGTCGCGGCGAATCGCCGCGCTGGCGGCGCTGCGTGGGCAGCGCCACTTGTATATGTATACATTGCACCGCTGCGTTCCTGTCGAACGCCCGTTCCCTATCCACGGTCTGCCTCCTCCTTCCTCATTCAGGCTTCCTTTCGTCCTTCCCCTCGCCCGCCATCGCCGCCCCTCGCCCTTTTCGCCTTGCTCGGGCCTCCTCGAGTGACGTTGCTGCGCCCCCCCCCCGGCCCATAGCGCCTGCCCCGACCACCTTTGCCTGGCCTGATCACCCTTGCGCCCCGCGCGTCGGTCGACGCATCGAGGGGGAGCGATTGCGCCACTTTCTGTGTTGCGAACGCCTGCTCCTTCCCCTCGCCTGCCTCCTCCCTCATCCAGGCATCGCTGCGTTCTTCCCCTCTCATGCCAGATTCCCCATCGCCGTCCCCCGCCCTCTTCGCCTTGCTCGGGCCCCTTCGAGCGACGCCGCTGTCTCCCCCTCCGGCCCATAGCGCCTGCTTCGATAACCCTTGCCTGGCCTGATCACCCTTGCGCCCAGCGCGTCGGTCGACGCATCGAGGGGGAGCGACTGCGCCACTTTCTGTGTTGCGAACGCCTGCTCCTTCCCCTCGCCTGCCTCCTCCCTCATCCAGGCATCGTTGCGTTCTTCCCCTCTCATGCCAGATTCCCCATCGCCGCCCCCCGCCCCCTTCGCCTTGCTCGACCCCCCTCGAGCGACGCCGCTGCCTTCCCCTCTGGCCCATAGCGCCTGCTTCGATAACCCTTGCCTGACCTGAGCGCCTGCCGAGCCGCCCTCGCGCGCAGGGCCGGCGGCGGCGGCGATCTTCATCGCGACGACGATGCTCGGCGGCGACGTCGGGGCCGCAGGCGCGCCCGCCGCGCCCGCATGGCCGACCGCCGCTGCATCGCCGTCGCCGCCCGACGTCGGACATCTCGCCCCGCCCGCAGTTTTGCGCGCGCGACTGTTGAAAACGCGTGCGCTTTCCCCGTGCGAACTCGCTTGGAAGTCAAAAAACCTTAGTGATTTGGACCGTTTATCTGTTCAGTGGCTGCACTCGGTGTGGTTTTCGTTTGACGTGGGTCGCCGCGTTCACTGTGAATGTACGTTTTCCTATTGGTTTTTGATGAATCCAGCGAGTTCGCACGGGGAAATGCATGTGTTTTTTGTGTGTTGATCCTTCGTCGTGGCGCCTCGTCCCCTGGGTCCCTCCAGAGAGCTCGCATTGCTGCGCGACCGACGCGATGTCTTGGACTTTGGGTTCGCGGTCGGCCGCTGGATGCCGCTGCGAGCCACCCCGGATCACTGGAGAGCACGATGGAGGCTTCTGGGGGTTCGCCAGGAGCTGCCAGAGACCGCGGGGGGACACTGGGAGCGTTGAGGCGCCGTCCGGTAGCTGCTCGGGCTCAATTGTGCGCCCCGGCAATTCGGACCGTCGAGCTCCCTCCCCTCGCCCGCAGCCCCTGGCCCGCGGCGCATGGCGGCGCTGAACGACGACCTCTTCGAGTACGCCGAGTTCCAGGTGGACGAGCAGGACCCGAACCAGCACGTGGACTGGAAGCTGCTGCCGATGCGGCAGGCTTACCGCGTCTGGGCCGGCGAGGGCACGATGTACCTGGGCAGCATGCACGACGGCCTCTACAAGTACCACCTGACGCCGTGCGTGGCGCCCTTCATCGCGGACCACGGCCTCGTGTGGAAGCCGACGAATGGATCCCGGCCGTGGGCGCCGCGCTGCGCGCGGACCCGATCGATCGCGATGTCTGGGCGATCTGTCGATCGGTCCCAGATGGTCTGTTCGCTCGGTCAGTCGAGCGCTGGCGCGGGCTGCCTGCCGTGGCCTCACAGCGATCGAGCGTGGCCGTGAGGCGATCGGACGGCTCGTCGCGATGGGGTCTTGCTCGACCCGAAGATCATCGATGGCTGCCGCCTGCTGTCCGTCTCCCCGCATCTGCCGCGTGGAGGGGGGTGGAGGGGAATGTGGGGGTGGAAGGCGAGCGGGTCGGCCCGCCGCAACGCTGCGAGCTCACTGACAGCGGATGCCGAGGTTTTCACGCGCCGTGTCGCGCCTGCCACGATCGAGATCGATGCCGCGGGCTTCGAGCGCGACGCGGGCGCGATTCACCTCCACGTCACCTGCGATCGCGACGGCGATGTTCGCAATCACGTGCTCCGCACCTCGGAGTCGTCGACTGTGCAGATGGCGATCGGGGATCTGTCGTTGGCCGTAGGCGTAGGCATGTTCCCCCTCCCGCTCCTCTGGGCACGTTGCGAGTGATAGCCTCTGTGCCTCGGAACAGGGTCCCGGGCCCGTCACGTGCCCCTTGCCCCGTGGGTGGGGTGGAGGTGCGGGCACTCGCGTCGGGGCGGCGCCCCCCCCAGGTGAAGAGCGAGCTCCGCGTCGCGATGGGCTGGCCGCCGTACACGCCCGTGGCCTGGGCTGGCATCGACGATGCGGCGAAGCGCCAGAACGTCAGGTTCGCGCCGGCGTGCGAACCCTGCCCCTGCAGGTTGAACCGACGCCGGGGGGGGGGCGGCGCCGGACACTCTCGCCAGGGGTGGGGGGCGGGGGGTTGTCCTCCGGACTACATGCGCCCCCCCCCCCCAGAGTCTGAACCCCAGCCTGCGTCTTGGATACCGCTGACCTGCAGGGTTAGAATGGGGATCGCGCGTGGTCGCCCGCCAGGGTGAGCACCATCTTTGGATTCAAGCGCCCCCGCCTGGACCAGTGAGGGCGGGCCTCGCGCGCGTGCAGGCGCCCGCCTGCATGGCCCGTTGTGGCGGGCAGGCGAGTTCGCGCCGTCGCGGGCTGCCCTGCCCGCGCGTCTCCCTGCGCAGTGGACGCGCCCCGCGCGTCGGTCGACGCATCGAGGGGGAGCGACTGCGCCGCTTCCCTTGTTGCGAACGCCCTGGCTGCCTGCCCCCCCGCTCCTGCCCCTGACCGTGAAAGGCATGTGTTTTTGCGCTTTGATCTTTAGTTGTCACGCCGGTTCCCCTGGTGTCCTGATCAGAACTCGCGTTGCTGCGTAGTTGACGCGGTGCCCCTTTGGGAGTAGTTGACAATGTCTTCAGCTGGGGGCAGTTGACCTTGTCTTCTTTTGGGAGTAGTTGACACCGCGTTCGTTTGGGACTGGTTGACACTGTCCTCGATTGGGAGTAGTTAGACTGTCTTCTTTTGGGAGTAGTTGACATTGACTTCTTTTGGGAGTAGTTCCGGCTCGGGTCTGAAAAATCCCTTGACTTCCCGGGAATTCGCCCGAATTCCCGAATTCCTGGGAATTCGGCAAGTTGAGCTTCAGGATTTTTTGAGTTCCCAGGAATTCGGGAATTCGGGAATTCGGGAATTCGCCCGAATTCCCGAATTCCCGAATTCCCAGGAATTCGGCAAGTTGAGCCTCAGGATTTTTGAATTCCCAGGAATTCGGGATTCGGGAATTCGGAATTCGGGAATTCGCCCGAATTCCCGAATTCCCGAATTCCTGGGAATTCAAAAATCCTGATGCTCAACTTGCCGAATTCCTGCGAATTCGGGAATTCGGGCGAATTCCCGAATTCCCGAATTCCCGAATTCCTGGGAACTCAAAAAATCCTGAGGTTCAACTTCCCGAATTCCAAGGAATTCGGGAATTCTGGAATTGGGGCGAATTCCCGAATTCCCGAATTCCCGAATTCCTGGGAACTCAAAAAATCCTGAGGCTCAACTTGCCGAATTCCTGGGAATTCGGGAATTCGCCTCACTGTTTTCTTTTGGGAGTAGTTGACATTGTTTTCTTTGGGGGGAATATTTGACAGCGTTTTCCATCGGGGCCAGTTGATACGTTCTCCTTTCGGGTGGGTGAGTTCCACGCCGCGCGGGCTGGACGTGCCGCGGCTAGCATGCGTCGCTCGCCTGCGTCCGCCACCGTCCACCCCGTTGTTCCGCTCCATGCAGAGATGCGCGAGCACAACTTGTGGAAACCCAAATGATTTCCCGTGCGAACTCGCTTGGATGTCGAAAAACCCATGTGATTTAATGAATTCACGATTTCCAAGACTTCTCTTGGGTGCGTTTCGTTCCGCGCTTGGCGCCGCGATACAACAAGAATATGGTTTTCTTATGGTTTTTTGATGATTTGGGCGAGTTCGCACGGGGGAAAGCACGTGTTTCCTGTGGGCGTCACTCGTCGTGGTCGCACCTGTTCCTCTGGAGTCCAGGAGACAGCTCGCCCTGCTGCGCGGCCCAGTTGGAATGGCATGTTCGCTTTGGTGTCTGAGGGTTCCTCCGCTCATTTAGGTTCGAGATTCTGAAGGCGACGTTCGGCGGCTGGATTTCCGCCGTCCCGCCTCGCTCACTCGGCATCGCTGGCGCCATGGAGGCAGACCGCGCCGCGGGCGCGCAGATGCAGTTGCCCATGTCCCCGCGCGCGTACAACCGCCTCGTGCGCGAGCTCAAGTACGTCAACGCGAACATCCTCGGCCGGCCGGCTCACGGCTACCAGGCGAACCCCGCTGGCACGAAGGTGAAGTTCGCGGGGGGCTTGCTGCCGGCGGCGCCTGCGTCGCTGAAGGCGTGGTGGCGCAAGTACTTCCAGGAGGGCGCCTCCCGCGCGGGCGCGGCGGGGCCGACGCCTGGCCCATCGAGGCCCAAGCCCGCGGCGCGGCTGGCGAAGAGTCGCCGACAGGTGTCGGCTGCTCGCGACCGCAGCGGGAGCGGCCTCGTTGACATCGAGGCTTTCGACGATGTCCTCGCGGAGTTCGCCGTTCCACGCACGACGTTGACCCCGGTCGCCCCAGCGACTCACCGTCGCCGCCATGCGCGCGCCCGCCCAGGCGGCGCGGGGGCGGGGCGGCGCGGCGCCGGCGTCGACGGCGTCGCGCCGAACGAGGGGATGACCGATTCGGCGCGCGGCGACGCGTCCTCCGGAGGCGCGGATGCGACGCTCGAGCAGGCCTCCCCTGTCCAGTCCGTCTTGGAGTCGAACGGGGAGGAGGTGGCCGCGTCGACATTCGGGGACGCGCCCATCGGAGGCAGGGGCGCGGCGCCCGACCAGGACTTGGCGGAGTTCGCTGAGGGGCTGAACCATGACTTGTCGGCGGAGTCGGCGCCCGGGGGCGCGCCCCCCGGCTGCGCGGGCGCGACGCCCAAGCAGGAGTTGGGGGAGTTCGTCGAGGAGCCGAGAGAGGACTCGGCGGAATCTGCCGAGGAGCCGGACCAGGGCTCGGCGGCGTTGGCGCCCTGTGGCGCGCCCGCGGGAGGCAAGGGGGCGTCGCCCGAGCACGCCGCGGCAGAGATCATCGACGAGCTGAACAGGGGGATGACCGAGTTGGCTCTCGAGGGCTTGTCCGCGGGGGGGTGCGAGGACGGAGAGCCCGAGCGATTCCATGCGAAGTTCGTCGAGGACCGCCCCAGAGCACTGGAAATGACTTGACTCCCGCCCCTCTTCCTCCACCCCGCATCTCCCCTCTCCACAGGAACAGGACGACCTCTTCGTGCGCTGCCGGATGGGCATCTTCACCCTGGAGGAGATCGTCCAGCAGGCTGAGGCCCTGGAGAAGCGCTACGGGGCAATTGCGTGGCGCCTGATCTACCTGCTCAGGACTATGCCAGACATCCTCTGCGAGAGCGTCCCTGTCGAGTGGAGCGGCGCCCCCTGGCAGTCAGTCGGAGGCAGCGGCACGCCGCTCGGCGAGATGGATCACGCCTCGACGCTCGAGTACCAGCGCGTCTTGCAGGAGCGGCTCGAGCGCAACGGGGGCCGCGATCTCGTCATGGACGCAGAAGCCCGGAGGAGGAGGGATTTCCCCGAGGAGTTCCCCGCCAGCGGGAGGACTACCGCGCCGAGCTTCGAAACGCCGCCGCCGAAGGAGAGGTTCGAGGCAGAGGCCGCGGTGGCGCAGGTGCACGCGGAGGACGGCTGCGATCGCCATCGTGGTCGACGGGGTCAGGGCGGTTCAGACAAGCTGCTGCCCTCCTTCCACCTCAGGGCGAGCTTCGACCACCTCGAACTCCCGCACGCTCAGTGCGCGTTCACCGCGGCGCAGGTGGAACTGTATCATCTGTCCAGACGCATGACTCACGACCAGTTCCTGCGGGAGAAGGGCATCCTGGAGCAGGTGGCCAGCAGGAGGGCAGTGTTGCTGGCGTGGCTGCTCTGGGAGGAAGGCTGTTGGAAGCCCGACTTTGATGCCCGAGCGAAGCGTTTCCTGGCGGCGGTGGGTCGCCCTCTCGCGGCAGGCGGCTCGCGGGGGCCCGCGGGCGGCGCGCCGCGGCTCGTGGATGACGAGCTCTCGCAGGAAGAGAAGAGGATGAGGACGGTGTCCGCGGTCAAGCAGTCGTTGGAGTACGTGGAAATGCAACTGAGGTGCAGCACCGGGGAGCTGGACGAGGAGGACAGGCCCGCGACCCCGGACCCCGCCCTGCCGCACGTCAGCAAGCGGGATTGGGAGAAGAGTGTGCAGCAGTGGCGCCATGCCACATCGCGAGCACTGGCCGCAACCCCGGTGGACGCTGCGGCGCTTGCGGCGGTGGGCCGACTTGGCGCTTGGACGACGGAATCGCCTCCAATTTTGCGCGGCGTCGATGTGCTTACCCAGAGCGGCAACTGCATTGTGCAATCGTACGCCGTTGTGACGGGCGATTTCCGCGGCGCCATCGAGTACTGCCAGCAGCGTCCCGTGCGCCGCGGCGCGACGCGTCTGTACGCCGACGTCGCCGCCCATTTCAACTTTTCCTTGGGATTCGCGGGCTTGGAGGTCGCGCAAGACGGGCGACATGCGCTCCGCCCTGGGCTGTACTTCTTCCACATCCGTCTTCATTGCCGCCCCGTGGTTGTCCCGCCCGAGAGCGAGCTGGCCTGCGTGTGGAGAGGCTACGAGCGGATCTTCATAAGGATAGCAACCCTGGCGCGCAAGGTGGACGAGATCGGCGGGCAGCTCCTGTTCATCGATGGTGGCTGGCGTTTTCCCGTGTGCGCAGGTCTGCGCGCTGGCGGCGGGCCCGGCGCCGAGGACGAGCTTGCCCCGGTGGGCAACGAGGCGGGGGGGGCGGGAAGCGCCCCCCCCCTGCAGCTGACGCAGGAGCTGAGCAGGATTCTCCCGCCAGGGGTGGGGGAAGATCGCCCCCGCCAGGCCGGCGACGGCGCGGCGGCCGCGGAGGAGGAGCGCAAGGCGTCCGCCGCCGGCACCCGGCCCGGCGACGGCGCGGCCGCCGCGGAGGGGGAGGAGGAGCGCGAGGCGTTTGCCGCCGGCAGCCAGGCTGGCGAGGGCGAGGCGTCTGCCGCCGGCCCGAGCGCGTCGCCCCCTCTCCCCGACGACGACATGGCAGGCGCGTTCGAGAAGCCAAAGGAAAAGCCGCCCGCGCATAGCCTGACGGAGCACCTCGACAAGCACCTCGGGAAGCACGTCGGCATGGCCAACAAGAACGAGGTCATTCTCAAATATCTGGTGGACCTTGATTTGAGCGTGGACAACAGCATGCTTCTCCAGGCGGAATGCGTGTACCTCTTTTTCCAGTCTGAGGAGCGCAGCCTCCTGTACCACATCAGCCACGGCGCATGGTACACGTGGGGCGAGCAGGGCTGGACGCAGAAAGACGGCTCGAACCGCGTCATGGAGTTCATGCAGACGGGGTTCTTGAAGGCCGCGAGGGATGTTCGGAAGCTCGCGAGGCAGCGGCAATGCTTCCCGCCGACCGCCGACGGTGAGGAGCACATCCGCACGGCGTTCCTGGACAAGCTCGTCGCGGCGGTGGAGGGCAAGGGCACCGTGAAGGCGTTGATGGACCAGTGCGCCATATTCTTCAAGCTGGATCCCGTGTTCGACGCGAACCCAGATATTCTGCAGTGCCGCAACTGCGTGCTCGATCTGGCGAAGAATTGTTTCAGGGAGTCCCGTCCGTCGGACATGACGAACAGAAGCTCCTCCGTGGCGATCCCGAAGGAGTGGTTGGAGGACCCGTCCCTGGTCATGCCGCAGTCGCTCGGGCAGAGGACCATGGTCTGGAATTCGCTCTGGAGCATCTGGAAGAGAGGCGAGGGCGGCTTCCACCCGGGCGACCACTTCGACGAGTTGGGGGATTGCGACAGAGAGAATTTCGAGTTCTTCATTTCTCTCGTGGCGCGCCTCCTGGAAGGCCGCCCGCTCCAGAAGGTGGTCATGCCGTTCTCCGAGCGCGGGCGGAACAGCAAGGGGTTGTTGGAGAAGATGCTGGAGAGCGTGTTCGGGAGCTACTATGCCCCCGTCAAGAACACGATCTTCTTGGAGGAGCGGCGCACGGAGGACGAGCACAACGCGGGCGCGCTGGATCGCCAGGGGGCGCGCATAGCGGCCACGAACGAGCCGCCCGAGCAGCCGTGGAGCAATTCGACCTTCAAGAACAAGGTCTCCCGCGACAAGGTGCCGTGCCGCGGTTGCAACAGCAAGGTCGTGGAGAAGCATTCGCCCACGTACACGTTCCTGTTCTCGACGAACGGCCCGGTGCGCTTTGCCGTCCCCCCGAAGAACTCGGAGAAGGATCGGATCTTGGTGCTGAGAATGCCGAACAAGTTCGTGGACGACGGCGACAAGTTCACGTCGCCGAGACAGTTCCGCAAGGACCCCAAGATCGAGGACCGGGCCATGAGCGAGGACTTCGGGCTCGGGTTCCTGTTGATCCTCGTGCAGCGCAGGCAGAAAGTGCAGGACCTCGACGAGCTGGTGGGTCGCGGCACGAAGACCAGTCGCTTCTGGGTGGAGAAGTGGTTCAGCGCCGAGCAGACGGGCGACGAGCCGGCGGCGGCGTCCGCGCCGCCATCCGCCGAGGTGACCGAGCAAGCAGTGCAGACGTGCAAGGAGGATCACGCGAGGTTGTCGGTGAAAGGCGCGGGCCGCGTTGTGCCCGAGTGGGAGATCGTAAAGGACGATCCAGTCAACAGGGGCAAAAGGAGCGAGCGTTTTTTGGAATTGCAGAAAGTCATGAGGAATGCCGGCAGAGTCGGGGCGACCCTGATGAGGGTGACGTCTTTCGTGTCCCGGAAGAAGCACTCCCAAAAGGCCATAGAGCTGCTGCCGCTGGACGTGGCATTGTACGACGCGATCTTCTCCGACGCGGACGTCTTCGGGTCGTTGAGCTCGTACGCGTATCCCCCCTTCCACGATTCCTTCGCACAGAAAGACGGGTGCCTGGCTTTCGCCGAAACGCCTGACTCGGCGCGCCCCCCGTCGCCTGCCCACGCCCTCGTGTACCGCGTGCCCTCTCTCGTCCACCTGGCGGGCCTGTCTGCCGAGGCCTCGAGAATGGCGGCCGACCCCAATGTCTCTCCAGAAGACCGCAACAGGTGCTCGTCGTGGTTGCAGCGCGCCAGGGAGGAGGGGCAGGAAACGCAGGTGGGCCCGTCGTGCTTCCAGTGGCTCGACGAGGAGTACAGCCAGCTCGACGGCGTCGGTAGGGCGTATGCCCCCGGACACAGTTGCCAAGCAGCTCGTCGCTCGGCGCGCGCATCCAGCTGGGGTGACTTGCCGGTCGTGGAATGGGACTTCCGCGTGGCTGCTTACTCGCGCCTGCTGTGGGAGCTGCGCCAGGTCGCTCCGCCGGAGGAGGGCGAGGGGGCGCGCTTCGACCAGATCGAGAGGTACGTCGCATCGCCGACTCCGTGGCGAGAAAAGATCGCCGAGTATTACGGCATCAGCGTGGGCGAGGCCAAGCAGCTGTTGAACCGCCTGGTGTATCCTCGAGGCAGGTGCCGGCCGAACGAGGAGTGGGAGCCTGGCGCCGGGGACAGGGGCTCTCATGTACTGCCGTGCGTGCTGGAGCTTCGGCATCAACTGGCTGGAGCAGTTACCGTGATCGCGGCGAAGTCCGCGCGGTTCCAGCACATCGCGAGCATGGAGAAGACGAAGAGCGCTGAGCACCCCGAGTCCACCGCCATCGCTCTGTTCCTGCAGGACTCCGAGAATGTGGCGCTGGGGCAACTGCTGGAATTCCAGAGCTACCACAACATCCAGCCCGTGTGCCTGTGCTTCGACGCCATCTACTTCGTCCCGCCGCCGTTCCTGCTGGCGGGCGACCGGCTGGAGCAGCTCACGCGGACGGCGTCGGACGCCATGTTCGCCGCCGCCGGCGTCCGCATCAAGCGCGCGCGCGCCTCCAGGGAGCTGTCCGACCAGGACGACGCGTCGGCGAGCCTGGCCTTCTACTTGAACTCGCTCGTGCGCCGACGACTGGCGGCGCCCCAGAGATCCACGTGCGTGGGCGTGCCCTCCGAGGAGCCGCCGGCGAAGCGGTCCAGGCTCACCGGCAAGCGGACTCCACAGGCCGCCGCCGCTGCTGCCAACGAGGCCGTCTACGCTCAGTGCATGGCAGCAGGGCACAATTGCGTTCCGTGGTCGTTCCTCGCGCTGTCCAAGAACCTCGTGCACTCCCAGAAGTTCCTCGAGTTTGCCTTCTCTCCTGGCCCCCACAACTACGCCGACGCGGTCGACGCGGCACAGGATTTCCATTCGTTGGACGTCGTGGACAACAACGACCTGCAGTCCCTCGAGCCGGGCGGATACATGTTGCACGCTCGCGGGGATCCTGGCCACGCCACCCCGCTGGTGATCGCCGCCAACGAGCAGCCCGTGATTCTACTGCCAGGCGCGGGAGGCGTTCCCGAGCCCTGCGTCGTGGACCTTGCCGCGCAGCGCTGCGACATCGCCTGGGCATTCCGCGGCCCCGCGACCGACGGGCGCGACGTGCGCTCGGGCGACGGCCTGCTCGAGATGGCCGGCGCCGACGACGAGGGCGAGGTCGCGCTCCCCGTCGTTGACGACGAGGGCGAGGACGGCCAGGGCGAGGAGGGCGACGACGAGATGAAGGAGGGTGATCGAGCGTTCTGGGAGTCGCTGAAGAGTGAGTGTCGGGAGTACCTGGACCTGCTGAAGGGCGACGGCGCGCTGGAGACCTGCGCGTGCAAGAAGTGCGCGTTCCGTGCGTTTACGGAGAGGAGGTACCTGCGACACCACGTGGAGACTTACCACACGGAGGAGCGAAGTTACACGGCGTGCAACACGGACGTGCAGCTGAAGATCGCCCGGGCAATCTTCAACCAGCGCAGGGTATGTTCGATCCTGCAACCGGAGGCATCGCCCCATGACTTGCTCTCCGCGTCGGCCGCGCTCATCCGCGACTGGGTCGCTCCATCCGAGGAAACGCTCGCAGTGCTGAAACGGTCCAACGAGCTTCCTCTGGTCACGGTGTGGACGGAAGACGGCGCCGTGATGAAGCTGAAGACCCAGACCGGGCCGACCAGGCGCTTGAGTTTCAAAGTGTATTACACGGCTGGCTTCCAGGACCTCCTCACGTCGATCGTGCTGCGTCGCAAATTCCACCTTGCTTCCGTCATGCAGGACCTCGCGGCGACCTGGGCAATGAACAATCAAGCGGTGCTGCTGTTCGGCAGGCAGGGGTACGAGTCGATCTGCGAGCTCGTGGAGAACATCTTCACCTCGCCCGAGAGCGCTGTCGTGGCAATGAGGAAAAAGGTCCTGGACGCGGCAGTGGCGAACGGCGAGTTCAAGTGCATCAGCCACGACGCCACGTTCAAGGCCGCGTTCGCGATCATCGGCCAGACCCCCATGTCGCAGAGGGCTGGAGAAGTGCACGCCCTGCACACATTCGTTGCGCAGTCTGGGTTGTGTCTGGGGTGGAGCGGACAGCGCACGGAGGGGGAGCATGACTTCGCGCAGGCTCTCGCCGAGCTCTTGCCAGAGGGTGCGATCCCGCAGGTGGAGTACATTCTGTCGGATTCCCCGAGCGAGTACTTCCTCAGCCACTTGCCGAACTGCCGCGGCGTGGCGGAGGACCCCGTGCATTTATCGATGAGGATCGACGGGTGCACCAACGAACGCAGGACAGCGCTATCTTGGCGAGTCTTGAAGCTGCACAAGAAATTCCAGCAGCCAGCGCCGCCGGATTGGGAGATCCACCACGGCGAGCCCATGCGCATCCCCGAGTGGGACAGCGTGCGGCTGGGCCGGGCATTCACCGATGCCCAGTGGGAGGCCTACCTCGAGAAGCCGTTTACCAGCGTGCGCGAGTACGTCGGGGCCCTCCGGCGCATCGCGCAGACGTACCCGCAGACGTTGACCCGCAAGGATCTGAAGGGGGTGACCGTGCTGCAGCACCTGCAGCGCGCGGGCTCGCACTTTTTCTACACGCAGAACGTGGCCGTTTTCAGGCGCCTGCACCCGGGCGCATTGATGAACACGATGCGGAACGAGGCCATCCATCGACAGGTCAAGGACTGGGGGCGCTGCGTGCACCAGTGCCATCGCGAGCGCGTCGTCCTCGCGGGCAAGATCTTCGGCGTCTACAAGGCGCTCGCGCACTCGTGCCAGCCATGCACCGTGTCTCTCCGCGAGGGGTGGAGGGTCGCGCTGATCGCGGGCGCGCTCTCGAAGGGCTTAACGCCGCAGTTCCAGAGTGGCGGCCCAGTCGCCATCCGGGACCGCGATCAGCTGCGCACGCCCGTGATAGCATTGTCCAGCGCGGACGCAGAGCGCCGCGCAGACCGCCGCGCATCCAAGAGGGAGCGCGCAGCGGACCAGCGCGCCATTCACGAGAGCCGCAAGGCCGCCAGGCGCACCAGGCTGGGTTGATAGATGCGCGCTCCTGCGAGTTGCCCCTGCCATAGTGCAGCAGTGCAGGACACCTGATGCGCGCACGCCCCGCGTCCATCCTCTCTGCGGAGGACGCAGCGCTGTTGCCGCCTGTTTCGCTTCCCTGCGCATACAACCGTCATCATCGCCATGTGCAAAGAGCGCTTCTCCTCCACCAAACTCACTATGATGGAAACCATTGATTTTCGAATGTTTTCCCGTGCGAACGCGGCATAATCATCAAAAACACATAGGAAATACACAAAAATCTTAACCATCAGCGACCAGCTCAGAGCGGAAGCCGGCGCGAAAGAAGTGTTTGATCACATAAACCATTAAAAACACATGGGTTTTTGCATATTCAGGCGAGTTCGCACGGGGAAAAATTGAATATTGTTGGTATATGCGCCTTCAATATATACGTTCCACAAGAAGAATCATCTAGACCGTTATATTCACAAATGATGTGAATATCTGTCCGCGGCGCGGCGTGCTCTGAGAAGATCGCCTTGCCGGCGCGGCCGCCAATTCCCGGACTTCCGACGTTGCGACTTGTTCATGCCGCAGCGGTTACCCGCGGCTCTCGACCTCGCTTCCGGGGGAGATATTTTCGTCGCGGATCTTTGCAAAGTCGGATGTTTGGGATTTACGGAAGCACAAGCAGGGCGATCGCAATCCCCATCCTCCTCCTCGTCCTCTTCCTCGCGCTTCCGCCTCTCGCCCTCCCCCTCGCTCTTCTCCCTCCTTTGGACCCACCCTTAGATTTTAATTTCCGGAGGCCGCTTTTGGGCTCCAGGGCCGTCGAACAACAAATATCCGGAACGGGGGATTACCTCTGATGGACTCCAGAAAAGCCCCTGGCGCAGATTTTAAGGGGATGGCGGCCCAAAGAGGGAGTAAGAGGAATATGAGGAGGAGAAGGAGGCGGTGTACTGGGACGACGAGGAGGAGCAGGGCGAGGAGGACGAGGAGGACGAGGAGGAGAAGGAACAGGAGTAGGAGTAAGAGGAGAAGGAGGAGGGGGAGGAGGAGGAGGAGGGTATATATTGGAAGCAGGGCATTCACGCCATCGCGAAGCCAACCGGCCGCGCGGGCGACTCGTCCGTCGCCAGGGCGAGGAGGAGGATGGGGGCACACCAAAGTGGATAATTTTATGTACACGTATGTTTATTATATATGTATGTATATGTGCACTGCATGTGTACGCACACATATGCATATGTATACATGTATTGCATGTGTGATAGCCACGACAATACACATTGCCACGTACATTACATCATTATACTCATGTGTATACATACATGCATGCATTTGCTATTCAATTATATGAACAATATACCTTTTATACGTGTCAGTACACAAAGGTGCATGTTTATGTATATGTGTGTATATGTATATCAGTGTGTTTACTCGTGGACTTATATTATGTGTTTGTGCACGTACACATACTTATGTGAACACTTATATGTGAATTCACACATCCACGCATATGCACATACATCGGTCCTAAAAATACACATATATTATATACGCATATGTACACATGTTATACGTTTATGAGCACTGCGTGCATATCTTATTTTCGTTTACACACAAGCAATGGCACACATGCTCATATACATGTTCGTATATGTGTATAGTTACTAGTGCATGTGTATATATATATTCAAATATGTTTAAAGTGTCTGTATGTGTTTTTTTGCAAAGGATTCATTCATCTAGTTATACATACATGCATATGTATTAAGTATACACGCTACAACGCACGCGTACAAATACACATATCCGAATGTGCCAGCGCAATCATCCGCCTGTTTCTTTTTATCATGAACAAACGCACACACATATACATATATATATATATTCGTTTGTTTTTATATACAAACATGTGTTTGTATATTTTACACGCACACATATATTTAACTACACGCATGTTCACAAGTTCGTATGTATAGGTGTGTAGAAATGAGTACACACACATACACATACATATATATACAGGGTTCACACACATACATATATATGAATATATATATATATATATGTATATGTAAATATAGGTAGTACGCACATATATATATATGTATATATATGAATATAATTATAATATATGTCATATGTATGTGTGTATGCTTAGAACATACACATACATATATATATATATACGCAAACATACATACATGCATGTATATGTTTAAAGTATACACGCTGCAAATACACAGACAGACTCCGAATGTGATAGCGCGCGCCTAGAGATGAGTACACACACATACACATATATATATATATATACAGGGTGCACACACATACATATATATATATGACTATATATATATGAATATGTAAATAAATGTAGTACGCACACACATATATATGTATATATATGAATATAATTATAATATATGTCATATGTATGTGTGTATGCTTAGAACATACACATACATATATATATACAATCATACATACATGCATGTATATGTTTAAAGTATACACGCTGCAAATACACATACAGACTCCGAATGTGATAGCGCGCGCCTCCTCCTTACTCTCCTCCCACAGGGGCGGAAGTGAAATGGTACCGAATCCTGCACCTTACGGGGGGCCCCCCCTCTCTCAAGGGGGGGCGGGTTTCGAAGGGGTGGGGGAGGCTACCCCTCTCCCCTTGAGAATTGCAAGGGGGGGGGTCGAATCCCCCCCCCCCCCACACTTCGCCGATGGCAAACAACGACGACGACGAAGGTAACGAGAGCGACGACGACGACGACGACGTCGACGACGACGACGGAATACGAGCCGCTACGTCCGCCCCGAAAAAAAAAGTGCGGGTATGGTAGGGTAGACTAGAGTAGGGTAGAGTAGGTCAGAGTAGAGCAGAGTAGAATAGAGTTCAGCAGAGTAGGGTAGGGGAGATGGTAGAGTACAGACGGGAATAATAGTGCACAGTAGAGAGAAGAGTAGAGCAGGGTAGAGTAGAGCAGAGCAGAGCAGAGTAGAGTAGAGTAGCGTAGGACTAGGAATAGAGCAGAGTTGAACAGAATAGTGTTGTGTAGAGTAGGCTAGGTAGGGTAGAGTAGAGTAGGGTAGAGTAGAACAGAGTATAGTAGAGCTGGGTGGAAAACATTAAAATAGATGAGAGTAGCGCAGAGTGGGAGTAGAGTAGAGTAGGAGTAGAGTAGGAGAAGAGTAGGAGTAGGAATAGAGCAGAGTAGGAGTAGAAGTAGAGTAGGGTAGAATAGCGCAGTGTCGAGTAGGTTAGGGCGTAGTCGAGTAGTGAAGAGTAGAGAAGAACATAGGAGAGTAGTCAAGAGTAGGGTAGAGTAGCGCATGGTCGAGTAGGTTAGGGCATGGTAGAGTAGAACAGAGTAGAGTAGAGAAGAACAGAGGAGAGTAGACTAGAGTAGGGTAGATGGTAGAGTTGAAGAGGGTGGAGTGGAGTAGAGTAGAGTAGAGTAGAGTAAGAACGAGTAGAGTAGAGTTGAGTTGAGTGAGTAGAGTAGAGTAGAATAGAATAGAGTAGAGTAGAGTAGAGCAGAGCAGAGCAGAGCAGAGCAGAGTGGGAGTAGAGTAGCGTAGAGTAGATCGGAGTAGAAGTAGAGCAGAGTAGGAGTAGGAGGGGAGTAGAGTAGAGGAGACTGGAGGGGAGTAGAGTAGAGTAGGGTATAATATATCTGAGTCGAGTAGTGTGTAGAGTAGAGTACAGTAGAGTCCACTGCATGTCAGTCGTCTAATCTAATTGGAGTGTGCGCGTGCTGAGTTGTTGTCCGTTTTGTAATGCTTCTTACGTTGCGTGGTTAGCCGTCTGTTGTCCGCCGTCGTCGTCGTTGGGAAGGGGGGGGCGGCTCGGATCTCACGGCCCGTTAAACGTTTCAGGGGTGCCGTGGGGTGGGGGGCGGCGGTTCTCGGGGAGGGGGGGGGGGGGGGGGGGAGGGGGGGGGGGGGGGGGGGGGGGCGTTTCGCACGTGTGCTATCATTTGTTTCAGGCAGACGTCCACGAAACGCTTTTTCTGCCATATGTGCATAAAAGGCGGTTTCACTCGGCGCGAGGCCCAGGGACCATCGCCGAGCAAGACTGCTCGACACATGCCGCAGAAAGATGTGGCTTGGGGCTCTGGTCGTGATTTGTTCGCAAGATTACAGTGTTTCGCCCTGACGGATCCCAGGGAAAGGGAGCGTTAGCAATGGGTGGGCTAGCGAATCAGCTCACGTCGATGAGTTCCATAGCTCCGAGAGCACCACTGGGGCGAGACAGGCGCCCAGCGGCGGAGCCAAAACCAGCTGCACGCAGCAGATTTCGTACCCCTTACCCTCCTCCCCCCTTCTTGCATTCGTCCTCCTCCTCCTCCTCTTCCTCCTCCTCCTCCTCCTCCTCCTCCTCTTCCTCCTCCTCCTCATCTTCCTCCTCCTCTTCCTCCTCCTCCTCATCATCATCATCCGCCTGCTCCACCTCCTCCTCCTCCTCCTCCTCATCCTCCTTCTCCTCCTCCTCCTCCTCCAGCTCTCCCGCCTCCTTCTCCTTCTCCTCCTCCTCCTCCGCTTCCTTCCCCTCCTCCTCCTCCTCCTCCTCCTCCTCCTCCTCCTCCTCCTCCTCCTCCTCCGCCTCATCATCCCCCTTCTCCTCCTCCTCCCCCTTCTCCTCCTCATCCTCCTCATCCTCCTTATCCTCCTCCTCCTCCGCCTCCTCCTCTTCCTCCTCACCCTCACCCTCACCCCCCTCCTCCTCCTCCTCCTCTTCCTCCTCCTCCTCCTCATCATCAGCATCATCATCATCATCATCAGCAGCAGCATCTTCCTCATCCTCATCCTCCTCCCTCCTCTCCTTCTCTGTCTCCTCCTCCTCCTCCTCCTCCTCCTCCTCTCTGCTCCTCCTGCTCCGCATCATCTTCCTCATCCGTCCCTCCCTCCCTCCCTCCCTCCCCCCCCTCCTCTGCCTCCCCCTCCTCGTCCTCTTCCGCTTCCTCCTCCTCCTCATCTTCCTCCTCCTTCTCCTCTTCCTTCTT